CAAGAGAAGAGTTAGGAAGAGAGTTATTTTTCAACCAAGTCGAAAACTAACCCTTTAAATACATTTTCGAGTAGTACTTCAACAAGTCAAAAGGCATTAAAGGCATTTCCTTGGTTTTAAAATGACGAATCTCTTGTAATTCATTCATTCTCAGTAAAAACATTCTCTTTCAGGTAGGTATTGTCTTCAGGGTCCAGAACAAAAGAATGTGCAAGGCTTTTTTTATATAAGGATTAAAATATGAGTAAACTTATATATATTGAAGAATATATATAGGCTTATTGTTTAAATATAAATTTACTGTTCATATTTGCAATGCAAGCTGAAATTGTAAAGAGCATCTTCTATAATCTTTCCAGTTGTTTTAATATAGGCTTTTTTATATTTTTCATAATCTGACGCAGTCATCTCTTTAAGGTTGTCATCATCATTGCACTCTGGTGTAAGCATTCCTTCTGAACTTGCCTATGAGATAGACAAATAATATGTATAAATTACCAGTTGTATCAATTCTGATTCTTCAAGGTGTCAAATACTTACAGAAATGTCTAAATTTTTATTAGCTCCACTGTTCTTAGAATGTCCTTTTGTAGATTTTGTTTTAATAACTTCTTCAATATCTGAAATGATTTCTTGAGAACCACATTTTCGCACTTCATCTAATATGTCTATGCTGGACATCATGTAATGATTCTGGACCATTCGATATGTCAATAATGGAAATGTAGTAAGTGTCAACAGAGAAAATTTTCCAGTATTCTATTTAACAATGTCGACTTCTACTGATAACGGAGCAATATACTTTCCCCATAATTTTTAGCATTGCATGTATATAATCTTTTCATATGTATGATGACAATAATACATAAACTATGCTAAATTTTTTACGTTCCCATATGATATTTTCAAAAAATGATTTCGTGGATGTCTCTATAAAGAAAATGTCAACAGTATCAAAAACAAAAGACATATAAAAAGTAGATATAGTTTATAACAAAAGGAATATTTGGTGGATTGCAATGAGTGGACACCGAAAATTTCAGCAAAATCTCTGAATCGCTCTATATGACATATCAAATCATATAATAACAACTCAGAGGTGTACCATCTTCATTACTTGGGCACCGAAAAAATTACAGCAAAACCTCTGAATCGCTCTATATGGCATATCAAATCATATAATAACAATCCAGAAGCGCCCTCCCGCTTGCATTTTGTTTCCATACCTTTTTATTAGAATTTTTTTGCTTCCTTTATATATCTTTCGTACCATATTCCATCAAGTCCACCCCAATCTTCAGGAGACACTAAGCTAACATCTCGCAACTTTTAAAAAAATGAGGGTAAGTGTTTATGGTGTCGATTTCATCACGGAAGTATGCATTAACGGCTAGAAAACCCAATAACAAAAGTCAGAAGTTATCAGTGAGAGTAAAACTACGAATCTAGCAAGCTTACCTTCATAACCTATATATTGTTCGCCCGTAATTTTATTATATAAAACACTTAATAAAGTTGAAAAAATGCAAATTTTAAGGCTTTATGTTTTGTTGTCTATACTTGATCAAATTTCTCAAATTTTAACCATATACAATTCAAGTTATTTTAAGCGGACTCTTACTTAATGACGTAATCCATGATTCAACGGAGTTTTGAAGGTTTTTACTAAGCTTAAAGTTTTCATAAAAATCAGGGAATTTTTTGTCTAATTTAAAATTTTCATCCTAAATTCATTATTAATGCAAACTCAACGAGACTTTGAGTTAATCATATCAGCTGATTTGGTTTTTTGGGCCTTTTTTTCAAACCTTATGTCTTATTGTGTCTCGATGTTAAACACGAGTATTTTTAATGTGTAAACTGGTCGGTAGAAT